CAATCACAACACACTGGGCTAGCTAACCAATCAGAGCCCATCGCCTATTTCTGAGGGAGGGGCTTCATAAAAGAAGGAAATGATCAGCCCATTTCTCAGAGAAGGGACAGAGAGGTGTGGAATAAAGGTATGTGAAAAATAATGCATTTTTTAGAAAACGAAGCGTTAACACATGTACTGCACCCCATAAACACAATCAAGCCTAGAAAAAACCCAGTGAACCACCCCTTTAATTTAATTCACATGTGTTTCATAAACACATAATCCTTTCTGGATTACTATCCGCCATCAAAATGGTACGTTTAAATTATTCCAGCTGCTGTGAGAAAAGGCTATAAACGATCCGCCACCTGCAGGATCCTCACATGCCATAGCCTAGTAGCCGGGACAACTTCTTTATGTTTACAGATGTGACTTAATGATGCAGCGGCATGCTTGAATTTCCCACGAATACCCCTACCAACTAGAAAACATTATTATAAGCTGACCGTTATCGGGCTAAAATAAGGCGATAGTTTTGAACACTTTTATGTACTTGCTCAAATATTGCTTTCGGATAATTTGTAACCAAAAAAAGTTACAGACTGCAGCTTTAAGTTAATGACACCATCGTTTATAATCCATGTCACATGTGGTCACATTCGTTCCTGAAATACCTCATGTTCTTGTGGCATTGAATTAATAAAGCATAAAAAAAAAAAGTGGTCACATTCGTTCCATGTGTCATTTTACTACTGCATTTCGGAGATTTCATGACAACTAAACGTTTATTCTAAAGTTAAAGTTAAAAACGTTAACACTGCCAGCGAGTACGGTTAGCTAATGCAGTTAGTGTGCACAGCTGCGTTTGGTTTGTCGCGGATGGCAGAGCGTGTGTTTGTGCAGATTTACACTCTGTCTGGTAAGCTCCACCTCTACTGTACATTCACGAATTAACCACGTTACGTTAATAAGTTGTAACTTTACCTTCTAAAGATGAATTTTACTGTCACACCATCAGAGTGAACATAACAGAAGACTTACACTAGAGGGCAGCATTCAGTCTCTCAGGCGATGATGAAACAGCATGCTCGTAATGTCGATTTGCATATGAGTTCTACGTAGACTGTGGTTTAAGGAAAATAAACAATTGTGTATTTTGAGAACACCTTTTTTTTAGGTTTGCTTATACAGTATATATATATATATATATATATATACATATATATATACATATATATGTGGCATAGGCCATCATAACAAACGAGGCAAAAATACACGCGACTCATAAAAAGCCAGGGTACTACGTTAGATGAAGTGCAGGTATGCACACTTACACAAGCAATGCTACATTAGCCTACACACATTTCTAATGATACTTTATATCTCAGTTTAATTTAACGTTTTCACTATAAAACTGAAATTAAAAATTAACCAGATACTTTGAAAATAGTAGGCTAGATACTAAAGCATTTTAAAATGCTGTATTTCAAATGCAGGTAGGCTACAATAGAATTTTGCTTTAAACAGACAGGGAAAGATGATTTTTAATGCTTAAATGTTTTTTTGTGTGTTATAGTTTCTTTATGATAATGAGTGAAGTTTAGAAATTTTAAGTGAAATTTGTTTTATAGTAAACCCTGCACCACTTCTTTCAGTGTGGTAGGCAAGGGTGTAGTTCTGGTTTAAACATTGAGGGTTGAAGTGTGAACTGTTTTAGTGGAGCACCGGGTCATGCTCCCTCATAAGGCTTATTTGTTTGTTTGTTTGCTTAAATGTTTATTTTTGTAAGGTGGTCTTTTGTGCTATCATCCACACATGCAAAGTTGGATGATAACATATCTGCAATAAAGTAGCCCAATTACTTGTTTACATAGGATACATAATGTATTATATATTATTTACGCACTTATAGGCTATATTTTGACAGAATGTTTTAGTGCAACATGCCATGGGAAATCAATCTAACTAAGCATGTTCTTATATTGATATTGTTTATTTCTTTCATCATGTTCTTTAATCTGTGCCATCTCTTGGAATATGTTATATATATGTAATAAGGCCAGGTTTTTCCATCACTGGTCATTAGAACCCATTTTACGCATGGCTCTTGATTCTGACTTGTACTTGCTCTTATGAAAATGTATCAGTTCTTAACTGTAGCACTTGTTATAATGAGGCTAGCCTATTAAAGGTGCAGTAGAAGATCTTGGAAAATGCTAACTTTAGCCTGATAGCACTGAAAGCGAACGTCCCACCTCCCTGCAATTGCCGTCCAAAGCCCCCCCCCCGCACATTTCATATGTATCTCTTATCACGTGCGACGTTTGTTCTATTCGACCGTAAACGCCCTGCGAAGTGGACATCACCGGATATGCCGTCATGATTCCAGTTCGAAGTGAGTGTATATGTTCCATACAAAGGGCATTAAAATGTGCGAGACGTAAATTTAAATAGTATTTATTTACAGAGGTATACTAGGTCACTTCACACTTCTCTAGTAAGTTTTGTCTGTGTGTGAAGACGCTGCGCAACGCAAGTCCATGAATGAATGTTCCGAAGTGAAGTAAACTTCAACGGATTTCCCCTGCTCAGGGAGTAGGGAGCAATGAACACTGTGTAGGGATCATATAGATGGGAACACAGTTCATGCACGTAGCTCACTTCTAACGAGCTGGTTATCTGAATCGGTTGTGTTAACTAAGCGAGACATGCAAAATATGCAGAGTTGCAGACTGGAATTGGGAACAACTGGGCTACATCATGTGCCATTCACCAGTGAGAAAACTTACAGTGAGTACTACAATACCAGGAAGGAAGATTGGGTTGTTGATGTTTGTCTGCCATTCTCGCTCTGTCTGCACAGCGTGCGTGAATGCTCTAATGACGTATCCTGTCTGCGCGAACCGGGTGCGCAGAGGTATGCTAATACATAAGTTCACAGGCAGGTAGGAAAGCCAATTAAAACACTCGGACCGAGCGTTTTGATTGGACGAACATTTCTTGGTCCTACGCCTTCCACAGAATATATAAATACAGACAAATACATTTAGACCACTTAATGATTGCTATCGGGATGTGAAGAGATTTTCAACCAGCATAACAAAAAATGTTTCTGAAGACAATCACCTATTGCACCTTTAATTAATGGCCAGTAATTAAAGGCCACTAATGATTATTTTTATTTATCTATAGCTTATATAGCATTTATTATGAAAAACTACAACCTGCTCATTTCGAAACAATAGCCACAACTGTAATGTAAATCTATAGGGAAAAATGTATACCCTTAACAGATTATCCATTATAAATTCAACAACAAGTTAGACAAAATTGACAACAATTCAATTCAATTCAAGTTTATTTGTATAGTGCTTTTCACGATACAAATTGTTGCAAAGCAACTTTACAGCAAATTAGGTTTCTACAATATTTAGTAGTAGCTTATCAGTGGTGACTGTCAGTTAATGTACATATGGCAGAAATGTACGGAAAAATAAATGAAAGACGTAATCAAACAGACGATGAACACTATTAACAGCAATTATTATATGATGCAATCAAATTAGAGCTAAATTTGGTAGTTCTGTATGTTGTTTCATGGTTGGCATCATCTGAGGTCCTCTGAGGGGTTGGCATCATCTCTTCTCAGGTGTTCTGGATCCAGACTGAAGCTTGTATAAGTCCTAGTTACAAAAACAGAGAAACAAATAGAGACATAATTGGCGTAGCTGCTGTTCCAACCAGGCAAAATTTATTTGTTTAACCCAAGATAAAGAATAATAATGCACATTTGCTCAGATGTAACTGCAGTACAAGATTATGAGATGCATTATTTGAATGCTTGGCCAAAGAGATGTGTCTTGAATCTAGATTTAAACAGAGAGAGTGTGTCTGAACCCCGAACGTTATCAGGAAGGCTATTCCAGAGTTTGGGAGCCAAATGCGA